TACTACTACTACTACTACTACTACTACTACTACTACTACTACTACTACTACTACTACTACTACTACTACGTCTACTACTCCTGCCACTACTACCACTCCTGCCACTACTACTTCTACTATTCAGGTGGAGTGGAGCTCATGAATGGTACCTCAGACTTTCTTGACCTTATTGACTTTCCACGTGGGCATCAAATCCAACGCTTGTCAGAGAAGCAAGCATCTTGTATGTCTATTGAAATCAAAGTGCACAAAATAATGGTAGCTCATGGACAAATTGAAAAAACCGGCCAGCATTGTCTTACTTGAGGGTTCAACACTTACTACATCCATTCATTCCTAACTGAAACTTCATCAAACCTTACGTAATTTTGATCCCAAGAACCTCGCAAAATCAATGCGGCACCTCCATGTCCTGTTCAAATCTGGTGGTGGAAAATTTGCAGTACAAACAAACATGGCTCAGCAACATGTAGGTCATCATCACTGCCCACCAGCGTTCCTGGGTGGCAAATCGGCATCGAATTTCACGCAGAATCCTGTCTCAGACTTGGAAAGGGGACCACAACTCTACGACAAAACAATGTGCACTTCCATATTTGCTCCTGAAGAAGCAAAGAATTGACCTGCTACTTGCAACCACAATATGGAACCCACGAACCCGAATGCACGCGTACTCGAAAACAAACGGCCAATCGTCGTTTGACAATCTTTTTGTGAGACACTCTTGTGGGGAAACTCTCCTCTGACACGTTTTGGGACCCTCTTTTGGGACACTCTTGTAGGACACTCTTGTGGGACACTCTTGTGGCGCCTCTTACCGGACAGTCTTGTGAGACATTCTTGTAGCAGGCTCTTGTCGGACACCCTTGTGGCACAGTCTTGAGGGAGCAAGTTCCGGAAGGGGTTCCGGAGCAAGTTCCCGGCACAAGGTGCTCGAGCAAGTTCCGCAGGTGGTGGCGAAGCAGGTCCCAGAGCAAGTTCCGGAGGAGGTTCCAGAGGAAGTTTTGGAGGGGTTCTGGAGCAACTGGAGCCAGCCGCAGTAGGTTTTGGAGCAAGTGCCAAAGCAGGTTTTGGAGCTGGTTCCAGACCAAGCGCAAGTTAAAGAGGAGGTTTTGGAGCAAGTGCCAAAGCAGGTTTTGGAGCTGGTTCCAGACCAAGCGCAAGTTGGGGAGGAGGTTGTGGGGCAAGTTCTGGAGCAGGTCCCTGCAGAGCAAATACCTGGAGCAGGCCTCATGCAAAGCAGGTTTCGGAGCAGGTTCTGGGTGTTCTCTTGTATGGTTTGTCTATGAAGTGGCAACCCAGATTGTCTCATCTTCTCCTACAGTCCTAGAGGAGGACGGGAACTTTTTGAAAAGGAACACTCTAGGCTGTAGGCTGTAGGCTTTGTTATGTTTCACCCGGCATACTCGCACTACAAAACGATACGATACAAAACGGGTCCATGAAGGCGCTTTGTAGAATGTGACCCGCCATGTCAGAGGACTCCATTTCCGCACTCCATAAGACCAAATGCTGTGGAGAATAGCGCACGCCGAATGCAGACCTGGGCAACTCTGCTGGGAGGTGAGAAACTGATGCTCCGCCAGCTCGGCCGGTTCTGGGGCGACCCATCTGTGCTGCTTGCTCTCGCCCTAATGAGGGGCTCATCTTCCAACACGACCTCGAGCAGCCGAGCGAGATCCCACAAGAGAGGAGGTGCATCGTCGCACCTCTAACGCTGCACTTAGTGCAGCAGAAGCAACCTCCACACTTCGACATGTTACGCTTTTCTTTGCCATTTCACGCTTTTCTTTGTCACTTCAGCCTTCCATCCAAAACCTCCTTGTTGTCGAAGCTTCCCCTTTATCGATCAGATTCCCGTCCACTGGCAGTTGCCGTTGCGGTCTCACAAAAGCAACGCAACCGGCAGACAGCGCGAAGTTAACCCTCAGACTCCCACAGTTCAACGAAAGCCCGAACCCACTCACCCCTTTCCTCCAGGCTGGAGGCTTAAAAATCCCACTTCGATGGGAGTTGCCCCATCTCACCATACACTGATGAGGTGAGGATCATGACTCCAAATCTTCACCTCATCTCCACCACCATGCAATGATCCTCACCAGAGCCTCCAAATGTATGATCAACAATGATCCTCATAAGACTGAAATCTCTCCAGGAAACCAAATCTCCACCGCAATTCTCGTCAGTTGCTTTGCCAAGCTTCGACAGAGGCGGCCCAAAGCAGCTGCTTCTCCAGCTTGCTGGCAGCCTGGCAAGATAGGCTCTGACTTGGACTCAGTTGTGACTCATCTGTGTGTAGTTTTCGGATCGCAATCCCCTCAAAACTTCATTTGTGTGAGGCCCGTGTGTGACGCGTCACAAACACGCGGCACCTTCACTGCCTCCACATCTGCGAAATCGCTCGTGTCGTTGCCTCGAACTGCTCAAATGGGGTTGGCACGCAGTTTCTCTGGGGGGTCGAGTCAGTCTCTTCCAAATGTGGAAATCGACAATGAAGGGAGGGTGGAAGTCTATTTTTCTGGACAGATCTTACACTGTGACTCCATCCCAAAAAGCGCCAAAGCACTGGCCAGGATCACAAAGTTGCTGAGGCACATGGACCTCGGAAGAAGGCTCCATGCGTGGGAACATGGGGCAGGACACCGGGATACATCGGGCATCATGACGCACATATATATATATATATATATTGAGTATAGAGACGACCCGTTCACGGAAGTGCCAGCCCCTTCACCACGCAGAACACGAAGCGCTGCGGTGGCCGGGGTGCAATTTGTCCTCTGTGTGGCCTCCAGAGCACTCGCGTGGGTTCAAGGGATCCATGACCACACCTCAGGGCGTGAGGGCATGGAGTGGACCGATAAAATGGGTGGAGTTGAAAGGTACCGACGCCCATCGCGCTGCGTGTACGCGCGATGCTTGTAGATATGCTTCTCATTGCTTGACCAGTCTGGCTTTTCCAAGTCGGTATCTGTCCCCAAGGATTGCCGTCTTTTTGTTCCAAGCTGCAAAGCTTAGTGATCTGAAGGCCTCGTCTCAAATACCTGACGGAGGATCAAAGATATCAAAGTGACAGGAGTAGAGTGAAGAGGAGTGAAGAAGCTCAACATAACAGATGTTGTTGCACCCATATAATATATTGGTGGCTTCCCAAGTCTTCTTACTGCTGAATTTCCAGCAAAAACCTGCTCCTTCCTCCATATCCTCCATGCGCCACCTGGCCCCCATGGGTCAACCGGCCCACCGAGCTGACTCGTGACCAGCCAATTCCTGCCGCTCACGTGAGGAACAACTCGCAGAGCTCCGGCTGGGTGAAGGACGTCACCTCCACAGACCCACTTCGGTGAGACGACCACCCCCCCCGTCAGATGCCGGAAAGGTTCCGTCGGATTTGTTGGGGGGGGAGCGATTGTTCACGTTTTAAATGGTCGAGAAACAGCCAGCATCTGACGGAAGGATTCCAGGTCCCGAATGCTTCTTTCGCCACGGAAGGAGACATGTCTGACCTTCGGCCATACTTGGCATCTGCTCTTTCTGACTTTGTCACTTCACCAAGTCAGGCCGTCACGGGCATTGATTGTGGGGCAACAGATGCGATTTTGGGGTGTTTTTCAGATTCTGCAAACCATAGCCACCAACGGTTTGATGAATTGGACATGTTAGCAGCCAAGCTTAAACCGCACTCGTTTTGCCGATTTCTCACGACAAGATACCACAAGTGGATACTACACCTTCTCTCAGTCCAGTGCCTGCTCCAACTCCTCCTGCATGCCCATGACCAACTTTTCTCGCGTCGATACGCCTGGCCCGATCTCAATGGAGGAACTGACTGCGTTGACATTGTAACGGCATGCGGGTCCAGCAAATATGTAAGCAAAAGCAACTTGGGAGGCCTTTTCTGTACAGTAGGTCATGCACTAAAGCAATCCATCTAAGCTGAGTCTTAAGCATTTGGCATCCTCTGCCACTCTCCGTTTCCCTCTTCTCTGTCTCTACATCTGGCCATCATCGCCATCGAAGGTGAGGGTCTTAAACCTCGGTGATGGCACTGGCTGGCACGTTTCAGACTCGCCATCGAAGTGTCCAGACTCCAACACTGTCACTGTCGATCATCTGCTTAATGAGAGGAATCTAATCTGGAGACGTGGTCCATCCGACAAGGTTTGATTCGTCGAAACATTGGTAGCAATCACCCAGACACTCCATGTCTGTCATATATACCGATCAGTTGAGGTGGTTTGGGGGGTCAATGTAGGCATATATGGCATACATGGAGTCTCTGGGTCATGTAACTTAATATGTAGTTATCTGTAGTTGACCTCGTATCACGTTCAATTAGGGAGAAGCCCCCAGTTCGACCCCTGGGAAGATCAAAAACAAACGAAACCTGGCCTTCCAATTCACATACCCATATCGATGACCTAATGGTTTGATATTGCTTGATGTGTCTTCGAGACCCGTGGCATCCCGTGGCTCAAGGCTTGGGTCACAAAGATTGGAAATGGCAAAACAGTGTGTACATAAAATAGGTATGCATGTGTAGGTGGTTTACTACGTCAATGGCGCAAACCTTTGCACGAGTTTACTTGACATTAAGAAGCGATGGTCCAAAACGTGTTTTCTCCCCATTCTTTGCTTTTCTCCACCATCTTGACCATCTTGCATGAACAACGAGAGAACATATGAGAAAATGATGCCCACGTAATCCCAAGTACGTCTATCAAGCACAGGCTAGGTAGCATCTGTGTAGCGGTGGAAAGGTTTTACAACAGGAAGGTCACTTTTAAAGTAGTTCGCAACCAAAGTTCAGCAAATACTTGACCTTCCAGTTTTTCAATGTGTTTCCAAACAAAATGACACCGTCCCTGCGGCAGAGAGGACCTCCGAGAGGATTCTACATGCATTGATGGCCATTCCCTGTGAACGTGATTTCGCCCAAGGAGCACAGTCCTTCGGGCGATGTTGTCCCTCAAGTAGTCTATCCGCTCCTCGCAGTGGACGTGTCAGCGTCTTTCATGTGTTGAAAACGTGTCTGCGTGTCTGTGCGCAGGTGAACTAAACCTCCTGCAAAACCCCATGTGTTCTTCTCAAGCGAAAACCTCCTACCTCCTCTTTCCAGTTCTATCATGCTCTATCTCAACGAAAGGCACTCTTTCCAACAAATCTTGGAACACTCATTGACTCATGGCTGCTCCAACAACAGGCTTGTTCACTCTGTCTCCCTGCATCTTGGTGCCTTAGGCTTCTTCTCTTGTAGTCCATCCAGAGCCCTCAGTGGGCCATGGGCAACCAAAATACATCTCAGCTTTCCCCATAAAGCATGATGGTCAACATCCTCGCTGGGATACTTACCAAAAAAGCAACGATGAACAGGAGCTTCAACGGAAGCGACGTTTTCCCCAAACCAAAACTCAGCGTCGCCCAGCGAGTGGTTCAATCAAGAAGAAAACACCTCAACACATGGGGTGTGTATCTCAACAGGGAGACCTGCCCCCAACCAGTATACGTTTTGGTCTATTTCCCTTCTTCCAGGGGGGTCGTTGCCTGGGAGGTCTCCCTATTTGAGCTACACCCCCACCTCACCAAAACGAAGATCGTTTTGTGTCGCCCAAGCACTCGCTCCGTCCAGATCTTTGGAGGGAAAACCTGGCGATGGCGTCCAACAGCTGCCATGGGTAGATATGGGTACCGTGGGCCAACATGTGCATGACTCGAGGTGTAAACCTAGTACTAGATCATGTGTATAGGACAATATATATATAGTATATAGAAATAAAATAACATATACAGTACAGTATATATAGGGAGGGAGAGAGAGAGAGTCTCATTCAGCCATTTCAGCCACAGACCTTCAAAGCGCACGTTTTGTTGCGCTATACTGAGCTATACTAACACTGGATTGCCAACCACCAAGGCGGGTGTGAGCTTCGCGCTCCAACGTCGTGCCTTGCTCTTGACTTGCCGAATGCGTCGCTCTTGCTCATGTCCACACTGTCCTTGTCCTTGCGGTCACATCAACAAACTGGCCAACCGAGGCCGGGGATATTCCATGGACCCCCTTCACCAGCAACAGCTGGTGTTGCAGCAAGTCAAGCTCACAAGTTGATTGATGGTCCTTCGCTTCAACCCAAATGTCCTGTACACAATCGTGCCGCTTGCAAAACGTCCGTCTGCACATAAAGGTCAAGATGTGTGTCAAAGTTTGCTGGAATTGATATGAATTGATCTAGCATGATCGGCTGCATTGCCAAGTCTCCTTCTCCAGTTGTTCGCCGGAGTCCCTCAGTTCAGTGCGGGTAGACATGACTGGAAACCATGGTCAACCACTCCGGTCCTAGACAGCTGGAGGATCAACCACTCCTAGACGCTGTACTTGAGTCGTGGGATTTTTTGGGATACGAAGTAGCGGAGGTCGAGGCCGTGTGAAGCCCAGCCAACCATTCCAAAGGAGGTTAGGTGACCATATAGGACCCTACTGAGGTACTGTATGTGATGGTCTATAGGGTCCTTCAACCTCTGATGGTCTTCATTCACAAACCCTTGCAACTCAAGTCACTGGTCGGTTCGAAAGAGCTGGGAGCAAAAATAGTCGTGACCTCGTCGTCGCGACCAAGGACGTTGCGTCGTGGCTCAAGGGAGGGGTCCAAGTGGCTTCACTGTTGACTTTGACCAAGTGGCACGTTTGCGAACGAATGACACACAGAATGATTGCAGATGCTCTATACCCTAGATCTGGCCTAGATGTTTAGGGAACGAATGATGACAAATGCTCTGCCCTTGCTGGGCCAACAATGGCAGTCTGTTGTGGCTGGTTGGAATGAATGAGACAACTGTGTTTACAACATTTTACAACGTAATAGCAATGGCCTCCAACCTGATAGCGACGGCCTCCACCCTAGTAGCGATGGCCTCCAACCTACTCACGATGGCCTCCAACCTACTCACGATGGCCTCCAACCTACTAGCGATGGCCTCCAACCTACTAGCGATGGACTCCAACCTGTAGTGAAGAGGCTTTCTCTTTCTGGGCACTAGTACCATCCTATCATGTTTTCTTGCATGGACGGCCCGGCGCTTTACATGCTTTACCAGAATAAGGGGAAAGGAGAGGAGAGAGGTTCGAAAGGGACACCAACCTTAACACTGGGACCTTGCGGATATGTCCTACAGTATGTTCATAACTCATATATCAGGCCTTGGTGTGTTTGTTGCAAGGTGTTCAAACATCTGATCAAGGGATATCAAGGGTTTCAGATCCCATCGACCCGAATGCCCCCCCCATGGCCCCATTGAAGCCAAGCATCATCGGACCTCAGGGATCGGTGAGCGCCCAGTCCGAAACAGTCCAAGAAGGTTGAAGAAGATGAGAAGTTGAAGGCTGAAGATTTCCCCGGGGTTTCGACCACCCACATGGATCCTTGAGAAGAAACACCCCATGGTTTCGTCGTGTCACCCGTTTTTCAAAGAGCAAACCGAGTGGTCGTTTCGGGGTTCCATGTGGTCCGAAGAGCGGGCGGACCGCGCTGTGGCATGGTGACCCCCTACCACGTGGAACGGCCATGCTTCGCCAATCGATTGAGATATATTCGGACCGTTGGACCTTTTTTTGCATTGACCATTCAACAAATGCCAGCCTGCACTGCGCCGCTGTGATCAGCGTGTGTCCCCACACCATCGTGGGTTTGTTACTCCATGTTACTCCCAAAAGTCACATGATCATGGGCAAACCCCCACACAATTATATAGCTCACATCAACTCAATTCAACTCACCCGTGTTTTTCTGGCCAAGGTGCAAAATCTTGCGTCAATCGGCCAGTGTTGTTGAGACATACAACCTCACCAGGCGAGACCACGCAGCGTCTGGGCCTTTAAGACAAGCTGCCGCGCCACTCGGGAGAAGAACGTTTAAACGACGGGCGTTTGAAGCGCTAAAGCGTGTCGCAAGGTTCACTGTTAGGTTATTTGCGTGGGCATCAACCCAGCGCGTGTCACCATGTCAACGACCTCGAGTTCCTCTTTTTGCTTCGGCAACACCAAAACCAACACTACACATTGCCATCACTGAAGGGGTTTATCTTTCTTCGAAGGAAAAGACACATGTCACATGCGCAGCAAAGCTTAGCTTTGTCTAAACCACATCACATCTACCACTGTTGTGGAGATAGACTACCAAGCAGTGAAAACGCGCTGCCGGTATGTTCTACCGGTATCTTTTTAGGCGAACGAGATGGATGTCTGGCAAACTCCACTGGTCAAAGCGAAGGGACTGGCTCGCCATTGATGAGCATCTTAATGAGCTCCTGCTGCTGCACTTCTGCGAGAGAAGCCAGTGAAGAATGAGAAGGGTACTCAGTGTGAAAACGAATATGACACCTGGAAGAAAGGTGAAGAAGATTCTACAGCCCTGTTGAATCATGCAGAATGTATCTTTGCTATTCTTTGCTTCATGAGGGAAAGTATATGAGACTTTGTCCGACTGCTTTACCCGCGCACAAACACATCAGCCAACGCTGTGTTTCCCCGCGGGCCCTGTCCCTCTTGCTGCCATCGCCACCACCAAGGAAGATACAGCCACTTGGTGCAAGACCTCAGAAACGTTCTAACGAAGCTCCAGCCTGTCCTGATGCTTAGGAGGGAATGAGGGAATGTGTCCAAAGTCCAAACGAATGCAAGAAACTGACACAGGACAGAAACTCAACCTCTCAAAGGAAGTAAGTACTCATCTTCAACTCTTCCCCTTCTCGCCCCGGGTACGCCCTGCCCTAAACACAAAGCCTGGTCAGGTCTCTAAAGCGGACGGGTGGACGTCAATCGCGCTTGAAACCGACGACGCAAGTTCATCCAGTCATCCCAGTTCCGGACAATCTGTGATGAGCTCACCAATGTGGTCGTCACAGAAAATGTAGTGCGTTCCTGTACCAGCAAAGTATCACAGCAACTGGCATGTCGGTGGAGAAGATGCAGCGGAAGCATGTCGGTGGCTGATGTCTGATCCTACTGGTCATTGGCCAAACGTTCAGTTGAAAATTCCAGCATGATGCAAACCCTTGTGCGACCCTGGATGTATCACCACTTGTCTGTTCTGCCAGGCATATTGAACTGACGCACTGCTACCGTACTTTCGGGTCTAGGTGCTCCTTTGTTCACCCCCTTGCCAGCCAGTCTGGGTTACGGTAGCTAGTAGATATCTTACAAAAAAATGGATCTGCAGCAACATGGGTTCAGCACGGTCTATTTTTGAGTAATAAATGATCGAGAAAATCGCTCTCACTGTCGCATCCCTTAGAACATCCCTGATGTCCTGCAGTGTGCAGTGGCCTCAATTTCTTCAAGCACTCGACTCCGCTGAAACCCCCTTCATGCCACTCTGTCTTCATCTATACATCTTTCCCTTCACGCCGCTCCGCCCGGTCGCAGATCCACACCACGGTTGTCTGTCACCAGTCCCGGGATCGCAGTCCCGCCTCCGCGGAAGTGCCAGTTGTTCCACTTCACTTGATCCGCCTTTTTGGACTTGCTGGATTGCACCGTCCAGCCCTCCTTTTCCAACTTCCTCAGCACCGCGAGGTCCCGGACACGCGAAACGGAGACGAAACGAACGCGGAATCGCGCCACGGAGGGGAGACCGGACGCGCCAGGAGCCGCCGCGTGGGCGTGGGCGAAAAAGGGATCGCCCCGTCTCCAAGAGACGTGTTCTGGACTGGGCACTTGTTCCTACTAGCTTTTTGTTACTACTAGTAAGGCACTTGTTACTACTAGCGTGGCACTTGTTACTACTATCTCAACCGGGCATTGGAGACGTGTCCGTGTCCGATCGGGTTGGTCGAAGTGCGCTGGTCACACAGGATCTCAGGATCACGTGATGTGACATGGCTCTTGAAAGAGGTGAAAAGGAATCAATTTCAGAGCATGTCCCACTTTCTTTGACAGCCTGCTGATGATAATGAAGTTCTATGTCTGGATGCGTATAACCGGATCAGCGAAACAAGAACGCTAGCAGCATCTAGCAGCTAGATTCCCTTCGAAGCTGGCGGACTCCTCTCGCCCTAAGTGACGCCTTGATCCCCTTCCCCACGTGGAAGTCGGCGCTGGCGAGTCCTTCAGCCAAGGTGCGTGTCCCAAAAGCCCACTCCCCTGGAGCGGGGAACCCGTCGGAAGGGCGGCACTGGGAGCGGCCCACGACAGCCGTGCGTCCCATTTAAACTGTGATAAGAGTCAAAACAAAACAGCATAAATCAACGTATATTTTAAGCTTATTGATGCTTATAGATTGATTATATCAATTTGATATTATATATTGTTATAATTTATCAATTGCGTCCAAGAAGTCAAAAACAATGAGTCAAAGTAATTCTTTTGGGCTTCTCAATGTAGGCTACTGGCGCGACCAATCGCTGTAGAAGCAGTGCAAAACAACATGGGCTTCCGCTTCTCAACTCTCAACGTATATCTCTTGTTTCGCCAAGCAGCAGCTTCAATGGGTCCATATCAGGAATATCAATGGGCTTGGCATGCTTCAGCAGCCGGGCAGTCATCAAGGCGCCTTTCACCTTCACCTCCTTCCACCGTGACACACGTTGCACGTTGCGGTCGCCGTGCTCACACCGTGGTCGCCAGTCGTTCCAAAGCAAACAAATAAAAGCGGGCTGGAGTCAAGGAAGGGTGAAACATGCAGTCTGTTGATTCTCTTTCTCAGCCGGGTTTGCTGACAGGTGTTCATCCTTCCGCATGAAGTGCTACTAGTAGCAGGTGTTGTTTGCATTGTTTGGCCCCTCAAATAGTCAAAAGATTCTCAGACAATGCGGCCTCCACTTCCTTCTGATCCTTCCGAGTCCACTTTTCAACCTGGCATGGGCTTCGCTGCTGCCTTTCGGGAAGACATCTCTCCACTTGTAGGGATGCATGATGCCATAAGCTGCTTGATGCACAATCGTCGATCCAAGATCGCAAGACTTGAACCTGGAGTACCTGGAGGCTTGTAAGATGAGCCCTGCTTTGCTTGACAGATGAAGGAACAAACACCAGTCTGGTTGACCCCGAAATCTCTTAGTGTGGTTTTCACCCCGGTGGGTCTCCCCTTGGTCCATCTTATTTGCGGTTTTCGGTTGGTCTGTGGGCCTCCCATCCACCGGCTTGCTGCCTAAGCAGCTCAGCAGCTATACATGAGAAAAAACTTTGAACGCTCTGAATTGCAAACAATTTCATTGGTTGGTTCTTCATCTTCAGTTCACACACACACACAAAACATCTGGATACATCTGGTATCATACCATCCCAAGTGCTGCAAGGACAATGCCTCCCCTTTTCGGCAGCCCGATCGTCCGTGCTCCGAACGGCACCTCCTCCGCCTTCTCAGTCCCGGTGCTCTTCTTGCTCTGCCTGGAGAGCTGACTTTGGCGCCGCTTGGAGCCTGGCACGAAGCCGGCAACGCGAACGGAACGAAGCCGGTTCCGTTCGGTGCCCCCCAGATCCTGGATGTATGGGGGGCATGGTTTCGGCATGCTTGGATTTCCTATGGAAAACCACTAAAATCTTCACCAGAAGGGGATTTACCCATAGGGAGAAACACAAAAAAAACCTTAAACAAAACAAGGCATGGAAGATAGATGGTTTCAGCCGCTTCTATCTATACATAACTTATTTTGTAATCCATTGGCTGGGACATTAGATATATTTCCAAATCCTCTGTTGACATACATGCTGTTCAACAGGATGAACAAGCTGAGAGACATCCATTGATGTTGCAAGCTCACCTGGAGACCAGACGTGTGTCAACTTGCGTGGCCTGGCGAGGCAAAAAAGACACCGGCCTTCTTCCTCCTGAGCTTTCTTCCTCAAAGTTTCCTCCCAGTCCTCCCATGCTTTCTCTGTCTTCAACTTGATGATCTTCTCCACCTCCTGGACATCGGAAAGCAAAGCAGAACTCTGTTTGGTGAAGCAAGTTGCTCATCCACCCACCCCTCCCCCGCTTCCAACGGCGCCTTGTCGACTTGGTTCTTGTCCAACCCAGCGAGCTCTTCCAAGGTGTGAAGCTGGCCGACGCCGCGCGCCGTGGCGGTTTCGAAGCTTCAAAACCGCCCGGTTTCACGGACCCACGGCCTCCCACGGCCACGAAGAAAGGACACCCGTTGCTCTATGAGTCCCCCCAAACAAACGAGAGGCGAACATCCAACTGGACTTGGACTGATTCCATGATGTTCCATGTGTCTAGACTCCCGACTGGCCGCTTCAAAAACCAAGTTCCGAACTGGAGGGCCGCTTAAGTCGACCCAAGGCCCGTTCCGAGTCCGCTTGCTAACATCTGTGTTTGCTGTGGTAAAAACCGAGGAGAACGTAGGGAGATGGTCATCCTCAAACAATGAGGCCACCACGATAGATAGTGAGAATATATTATGATAATTTATGAGAATATGTGGGGGGTCATGTGAGCATATACTGAGTCCTTGGACTCCGAACACACCCCGAACACTTGGGGGATTCCACCGGCGGTCGCCGATGTGCTCGGCGCGGCGGCGCGGCGGCTGGGGAGATGTCCGTCGTCCGGGCCTTCTCCTTCACGTCACTCTTATTGTGTTGGCCCACGAACTTGGACACATCTTTATACCTAAGAAAACCCGCCACAGGTAAGTAAGCCGATGTCGGCTGTTTTGAGCGCAGAGTATGATTCGATTCATATGTTTTCTATAAGTCTATAAGCAAGAAATCAGAGACAGACCGCTTGCTCTCAGCTGAGTTATGGCTCCTGGCGTTACTACTAGGAGCAAGGACGCTACTAGGGACGTTCGAGACACGACTGGGATTCACAGGATTTACCAACGTCCGCCAGTCGCCACCAGTCGCCTTCAGGCGGTCTTGCCAAGATGCGGAAATCTTTTGGTCTTCAGGCTGTTCATGACCAGGATCACCTCGGATGCTGATGTGTTTGGGAAAGTGTGTCCAAATCCAGGCTAAACCAAGGGTACTACCAAGGGTTGGATGTTGGACATTGGAAAGAACCAAGGCTAAACTATAAAGAATCTTAAGGTCCTTGGATGTTCCAGGCTAAACTGCAAGAATCTTAAGAACCAAGGGTTTGGACGTTGGATGACCTTGGCCGCAGAACAGCATCCGCTTACCAAAGAGAAACTCATGGTCCTCCCTGGGAGACCTTGCATCCTTGCAGTCACCTGGACCTGCAACTATACTCGTTCAACGTAATGTTGACAGGTCCCTATGAAAACAATTTGAGCACAAAGGTTCCAATACAAACCAAGTACATACACTATTGCCCCGAGATTGTTCGATCCCACTTAATACTTTCTATAGGAGGAGAATCGTGTATTGGAATCTATTGGATGCAAGTAGCATCTCCAGGGTGTACTTAGTTCGCATCTGGGCAAATCCAAGATCACAGGTTTCTCTTTCATGCGCTCCGCCGCATGCTTCAGCAGCAACAAGCCACCTGCAGGCCAGTACTCAGATGTGGCACGTCAGGTAGGCAGGCTTCACTATTCAACGCAGCAGTAGTGGCTTTTAAAGATTTGGGAGCACAGTGGTGATCACCATGTGCAGTCTTCAGTTTTTGCATGCGGAGAAAGAAACTGGTGTTGGGACTCCAAAAAAAATGAGCTTCGCCTCTGGCCAGAGGTGCACGGATTTCCTGAGAAAACCTCTTCAATCAGCTATAAGCACTCTGAAAAATCAGTTTCAATTCAGCTCACCCATCTTTGAAATCAGCACGGCTGCTGGCTGCTCACGGAGCTTTCGTACCCTTGAAACACCGAGCTAAAACCGTACCGCCGAGGCCTCGCACCGTATCGACCGCCCCCCCGAAGCGTGGTGCGACTCACCGCAGGATGCCGGAGGCGGTGACGTGGCCAAGCATCCGCACCGTTGGGACCGCCGTCCACCAGGATCCAGCAGCGATTGCGCACCGCCGCGCGGACGATCACATCCTCGACGGTGGCTGGACCCAGGGCGCGGTGGGGGAAGGGCCTGGCAGCGACCAACCCACCCCAACTGGAGCTACCTGGTGGTCGGGCTTTCGCTCGCTCGCTCGCTCGCGACAGGGTGGGCTGGTCGGGCTCCTTCGCTATGACCCCCGCATGTTGGTTCGCCGTTGGTTCAAGGAACCACGTGGGTTTTCGGCCGTTGGATGCGACCCGGCTCGGTCTCTTACGCTTGCTGTTCAGCAGCAGCATGGTGTTCTTGAAGTCTTTTTCTCGAAGCAACGCTGTAGACATCCAGTCCAACTGCTGGGTTCAACACCCATTTGCTTCATCACGTCCCTCTTCAAAAAAAGATGGCCAGCTGCCGAGTCCAGCACTGACCAAGGGGTTCAGGTGGTGAAACTCTTCACATCGAGGCAAGGGCAACACAAAGCTTGGAAGTGGATGAGTTGGGTTTCTCATGGCTTCTCCATCAGCACAAGCTGATAGGGCAAGAAAACACAGAAAATCGAAGACATGCTGTTGAGACCAAGAAAACCTCCTTCAACCACTGATCCGTACTGATTCTAGTTCTTGAGGCATAAAGGATCAACTTCTTGTTGTGAGGACCAAATTGGATGTCTATCTCGAGCATTCTCAAACCGCCCAATTCCAGCCAAGCAACGATCAAATTGCCTGAGCTCATCAGCTTTTGTTTCAATGACTGCTTAGACTGATTCCCGGTTGTGCAAAGGAAGGCCTCCATGAAGGATTGATTCAACGATACAAATGATACAAGTCCTTGTCAAGAGCGGAAAGTTTGCTGGAATTTGTATACAATCCGAGGTTTGGAAATCACCTTGCCATGAAGTTCCTCCGGGATACTCAAGGACTTGTAGAGAAACTCATTCAAAAGCTTCAACGCTTTCCTCTCTATCCTGTCTTCCTTAGTTTCTTTCACGGCTTTCTCCATCTCTTCCGTGTGGTCTTCGCCTGACATGCTTATGACATGCTTCAGAGATGAAAACGCAAGCATCCTGCTCATCTTGCGCAACCCATGGGAACATGCTAAGACGAGAAACACGACAAATAACAAATCTCTTGATTTTGATGATAGAAACATGGCCCCAAGATGGTGGTTCGGTTGCTGCAAACCACCTAGAGTCGTTGACATCGATCGACCCTGCTGTGCGGTGTGGCGCGCCTTCTTCACACGATCTCCTGAGTGGAGAAGGTGGTGGGAGAAGGTGCCCAACCCTTGGGGGCCCGTGGATCGAGCGTCCCGACCAAACGGAAGGCTTCTGGGAGTCGAGCCATATGGGATGGAATGTCAAGTGGGTCAATCAATGTCAATCATCATTTATGAAGTTCAGATCAATCCATCATATGCGATGTGACGTGATGGATTTTTTCATATGATTTCAGCATATTTGACCGACTCAGAGTGGAAAAGTACAGGACCCGGGGACCGTCTGTGTGAGGTGAAAGTCTGGGTCTTCGGGATTGTGGACCGACGTGCCCGATCCGAAAAACATCATGTGTGACAAAGGTTTGTGGCCACACTGACCTCAGAAGAACACTCTTCTGAAAGCAATTCGAGGAGGAGATGTCTCTGAAAAACACCCACCAAGTGAATCAACTGATCATTCAAACGAGAACCTCACAAAGCTGCTGCTTTGAGAACCTCCGTTGTTTAAAGAGAACCTCATCAAAGCACCAAACACCCACATCAAACAAACGCTGCTTGGCCCCAAGGTGGCTGGTTTTGAACCGCACCAAGCTACAGCGGTATACCCCACAGCTCATTCGTCCGATATTTTCCCAAGCGACCACTGCAAAAGACTGGGCCTAGCAGACTGCCTAGCAAATATCTGCTTCAACATACATATGGACTCTCTTAGGGTCTTAGGGCAGCTGTGTCCAAGCTTCCCATGGTTCTCTTCCTTTTCTTCGTGCTGGGAGACGTAGTTCTCGAAGTGGGTGTAGTATTTGTAGATCTCCTTGGCACGAAAAACGCGTTACGGGCGCTACGGCCAAGTTGTGTGGGACAGCGACATGTCCAAGGGGTTGCAAGCAAAGAACTACAGAATTGCCCCAAAGTTGGCCGCCTCGGATGCTCCAGTTGTTGTGCCAGCAATGAAAAAGGCCTTTGGTCAATTTAGGGAGAGCAAAGAAACAACTCTGGTCTTTCTTTCTTTGCAGGCTCTCAGAGGTCTTAAAACCGTGAGCGTGAAACAACTCAGGTCCTTGCAAACAACAACCATCTGCCCTTGCCTCTTTTCTTCCCTTCGCCGACAACATTCACAACCGACTGATCGACACATGCAGGAAGGACAACGGACAAAAGGGCTCCGAATTTTTAGGACACGGCGCGAAAGGACAACTGCGATAATATGTGACACCTAAAATATCTTGCAATAACCCATGTAACTTTGGTGGTTCATGATTTGAATGAACTCTTGTACACATGGTTCATTGTCCCATCATCTGCCACAACCCGGTCATCAAGCGGAAATCTATGGAAATCTCGCCTTTTCCAAGCGTGTGAGACGACCGACGAGTCAAGTCACCAGCAGCATGTCATCGACTAGTCTACCTGATGATCACTGCATCACGCTGATCTCACTGAACTCCCCCCGCCACGACCTGCCCTTCGACCTTTGATCTGCTTGCATCGAGGAACAGCCCCGGAGGGACCCCCGCAGTTGGTCTTCAGTTTCTTGATCTCCTCTGTGCGGCAAGGTGCCGCGAGTGAGGTTTGGCGTCTGAGGTGGTTGGATGTGCGCTTTGGCGGATGCTTCGGAAAGCTACGCCATCTAGATCCATCAGAACATTTCAGGCAAGGACCCAAAAGAAAGGAAGGAACCACTTGGTGGGGTACCTACCTGCTGGAAGCAGTAACTGTCACGGACCTACCTGCTGAGAACAGTTACGTTCCTCGTGCTTCTAACGAAATCGTCTATCTCTGTCACAAACTCTCAGGAACAACATCTTGGTCATCAATGGTGACAGTAAATTTAAAGCCTCACTCCACTGCAGAAATCAGCCAGCACGATTTCTAAAGCATGCGGAGAGTGCAGGGAGAGGGAGGGATCCAGCAAATGAGATCACTTCAGGCGCACTGGACCTATGAAATGACATCGAGACAAGTTCCTCTGGTTTGCACATTGACTGTCATGTGTCTGGCCTGCAGTTCGTTGCCAATACGTTGGCCGACGTGCAAAACAGTTCTTTTTTGTTCCATTGGAAGGCTTTTACCACCCTTTCGATTCAAGGCAGGTGGTCGGAAAGCCCTGACGATCTCAACGCTCGATATATGTCCGTCTCCTCTTTGTCCAGCAAATATCTCGGGTGGGCAAAGCCTCGATCCATTCGCCGAAGAAATCCACCGCCGTGCGCCACTGCTTCGCCCAATTCGCACGCGAGAAAAACCGTGCTGAGAGTCCACTCGGACCCGAGCTCGAACGAGGCATCGCTCCAACTCGCAACTCGACGCGAGTTAAAGGTTCACGCGTGGGTTCCACTGGACGCGTCGACATCGCTCCACTCCGGGAAGGAGTGAAAAAGTTCGCTGAGGCTCAAGCCCGACTGGAACTTGATGAGCAGTTGTGGCCTGAAAAACGATCCGTTCGTGCGTGCCGACCCATAGCGCTCCGGAGGCGCTCCGGAGGCACGCGGCGTTGGCTTCGTGCCCAAGCCGCTCGCACCGGCCAGTTGTTGAAGCGGTGTAACCCGTGTATCTCACCGGTGCACTTAAGAAGCAGAGCTCTAATGGTCAAGGTGGTGCTTGAGGAGTTGGTGTCCAAACATTACAGTATATAATTAAACAAGTCGCCAGCCTGAAGTCAGCACGTTCGTGTGAAGTCTGGTGAACCCAGGTGACACGAACGTGCTGACGTTGAGCCATCGAACACGGACCGGGTGGTTGTCCATTGCGAAGGAGTTTGGAGTTGATGTTGGATTCTAGATCCTACATCCACCCCGTACTCTTGGGGGTTCTCCTTCAGCACCTCTATGTCCTGCCGTACTACCACACACTGAACTTCGACATCCGCTGGCTGCCTTGGCAGGTTCCAATGCCGCAACAAGGTATCAAAGAGCTCTGAAGACTTCGCTGCAATATCCTGACAGCGTCAAGTGTTAACATGTCCTGAATACTGCAGTACCTCTTTTCCTTTCGCGAATACTTCTGAGCCTTTTAAGGCTCTTGGTCATGTAAGTCATTCAAGAAGAGGCAGAGCATCGAGAACTACCGTGATAGTCATGCTGTATATCTTGACTACAGGCATACAAATAAACCAAACGTTTCATGGGCATCTAAGTTATCCCTTTTGCAGCAACTCTACGGCTGCTGATCCTCATGCATGGTTCGACCGCTCATCCAACTGATCTTTGCATGGTTCGAAGCAGCATGGGATGCGGAATAGTTCCAAACTCCCTTCCAATGTGCCCGGCCCATACACTCCATGTATGCTATATGTATACATTGACCCCCCAAACCACCCCAATGTAGGGATATTTGGCATACATGGAGTGTATGGAATATGAGACCCCCAAAAAGGACGCACGCCTTTCTGAAGCAACAGCTCATGTGGGTCACGGAGTTCTTTTTATTTGGGGCACCATTGCTAGGTACAAATTCCGTCAAGCACTTCCCCATCCCCAAATCCTCCTTCACTTCGCTTTCTCCCAAAAAAGAGTCCTTCTCCGAAAAATGTCTCCGAAACGTCTCCTTTTTTGGGGGGTTGAACCCTCCGAGACGTCGGCTCCGAGACATCGTCAAGGCTCCGAGACTTCGTCGGTCGGAATGTAGACGTACTCCTGCATTCCTGAAGCTGCCGGGGGAGCTGGAGGTCTACCGCAGTTGGACGACCTGAGGGACCGACTGGCTTTAGGAGGGTTTAGGGGTACCATGAGCAGAACGCAAGAACCCCCGTTACATGGGTGTGTATCTTAAAGGGCGAGACACCTGACTGCTGGCTGGGCAGACTATGGTAGACTGCTCTATTGTCCACCTTCCGGGGAATTTTTCACTGTGAGGTCTCCCTACTTTTGATACACACGATTTGGCCTTTTAGTGTTCGTGTTGGATGTAAACGGACGGTGGGGTTCTGACCGGAGTGTTACTCTATATTGGATTGTGAAGCTGCTCAAACGAGTAAAATACGGAGCTTGGCACTTGGGGAGGACCCCACGGTGCACAGAGTCTCGAAAGCACCACTCACTGACTCCGACAAATCTGCATCTGACCCGGTCGGATCTCAGGGCCGATGATGGAGCCTTTTTGGTTGCAACACCTGTGGCTGGTGATAGTCTCTGATGGTTCAACCTGGAAACTTCCTGGTTGCTTTGGCCATTTCTTGATCAACTTTAATGGAACAGACGTGCTTTCGAGATGCGCCCATCTGTGATGAACTTGCCATGAAGAAGCGACGAGGAGGCCTGCGAGCTCGACTCATAGCCATACATCCCCAGGAGTATGGCAGCAAAGAGTTGGGATGTATGCCCCACTCGTGGGATGTGGATGTAGGATGTGTGCACCATAAGATGTGAATATAGGATGAATATTTTTAAAAATTGGGTGTGAATCCCCACCTCTAAGACGAACACCTGCATATAGACTAAGTCACATAGAGTAGGCGATTCACCTCTACAATAGGCAAAACCCCTTTGTTCATGGTTGGAATCTCTCAAAAGCCTCTCAAATAGTATACATATAGTCACATAGTCATATAGATGTGAAACACGAGTGTGTCAGACCATGTGCAAATCAGGGTCTCCATGGCAGCATCAGGGGCAGTGGTCATGTTCAATAGAATAAGGAGTCATAGTTTGGGTCTATCCTAATACCGTATAACTCAACTCCGTATAACAGTGGATGATGATGGTTAGGTTGCAGGCCTTGTTCCAAAATCGTAACAATTCTGCAAACAGGTCCTGCGACAGGTCGGCCCGGGTCCGCTGCGAACCGCTCTGCCTTGTCCTTCTTCTTTGCATCCTGGGAAACTGCTATCTGCGCATCTTGGTGTTCTCTGCCTATGTCATGTCAGACGTTTTGGGGAAAACAACGCACGGATAGAGATGCCGTCAGACGGCGTCTTTGGCCGTTGAGACGGCGGCGTTTTTGGTTGTGACCAGGCGGACACGGCAGAAACCAAAAAGAAACGGCGTTCTTAGGCTTCCAAACGGCGTCGTTGAGGCATGCAAATGGCATCTTTCCCCGCCCATGGATTTTGAGTATAGGTTTGCAACCTCTAAAACTAAAACGTGCTCTTTTGGATTGCAGCGTCTTTTCACTGAACAATGCTTCCGGCGAAATTTGTGCCGTTTGAACATCCAGGTATCTGCCTCAAATTCACTTCGATGTCATGCTGGCTGGCCAATCGAGTGCTTAAGGCAGCCCTCCCCCGCGGCCCGGGCTGCACAACACCAAGCAGCTTCACCAGAGCATGCAACAGAGCTTTTGAACCTTTGAACCTGGTTGAACATCTTTGACCCCCATCAGCAAATTTTTCCGCGAAGCAGCACCTTTTGCCAAAATTCGGATGAGGAAATGCTGTTCCAGTAAGATTCTATAGTAAACAGCGGTAGAATGCAGTAGAACATGAAACACCTTCAGAGAGATGTAGGATGTCCAGTGCATTTTCTCTGTCAGTCCTCCTCAGTCTTCACGTGCTTCCTTGGACAGGCTTGGGGCAACAGAAGAAGTGACTGCTCCTGATGGATGAAGACGAACTATTAGAGTATGGGTATAGGTTTGTTACATTTGTTGGAAGTCCTGGTCATACTTCCCTTTTCTATCTTGACGAACAAGATGGGCTTACATCGGCCAACACAACGCGCAAAAGAAGAACGTGATCTTCAAAAATCACACCGGCAAACATCGTACTCATTGTTCATCAAGTCTTGGAGTCTTGGTTCTCCCGCACTTCACTTTCTTGAAACCCAGGTTGAGGGCACATTGCCGGATCCTCTCTGAACAATGCTGAGCCTGGTCCCACATCTCATCCACCCGAGCCTCGTCCTGTTCAAAACCGTCCGTCAGACCATGCCAAATCCTGTCCATGTTCGTTTAAGAAACCAAGTCAGTCTCCGAGGTCTTAAGAACTTGCCCCGGTCGCTGGTAGAACGACGCCTAAGGACTTCACTTCACTTCGCCAAGGTTCCCTTTGTCACCTTTGTCTTTATGATCTGTATGACCCTCGTGAGACAGGGTCTCCTGGAGCACAAGCTGGCGCATGGCCCATGGCTGACTTGCTCACCCCAACCAGGCAGGGCATTGATCTGTTCCAAACGTCGACAAACCAATCCCTACCAGCAGTAAAAGCGGGGGTGGGGGGATACTTGGCACTTTGTAGGCATGAAGCCCCACATCATTCAGCTGCACCCACATGGCCAATATGCCTTCTGGAACTCTCAAACGCCCCGGCCTTCTTTGCACATGGACAGGTGCAGCCAGGCGGTCTTTTCCGTTTGCCCTTTCCTTTTTTGGAGGCCTCCGCGTGGTGTCCACGCACTGTTTCGGTGAGCGCAAAAGAGGGAAGACTCCATTTAAAGCAATTTCTGGACTACATAAATATAGACTGTTTGCAGGTGACCTCGCAGGCTTTAGACTACGAGCTGCCAAACATCGCTTGCTGAGAAATGTTGCCAAGATTTGCAAAGTACACATCCTAGGATACGCCCATGGACCGGCTGTTGACATCAACGTTGCATGCCGAAGAGGGGTAGGAACCAGGAAACATTAGTGACATTAGTGAGTGCGTTCAGCTGAGCATGTCCAAAAGCATGCTCTCTTTCTAGATGGATCCTGGATACTGAAAGGCATGTCGTCTTTTGGCCCCAGCTTTTGAGAAGAATCAATAAAGGGCATGGACCATGGAGTAGTAAAGCACCAAGGTTGTTCAATATGATTTCGAACCCGCTCCTGCAACGTTAGGTGACCAGGACCATCGCTGACACCCACAGTCCCCTAGCCTCCTGTTGGCCCTGCTGTAGGGAGGATGTCGCTGATGCCCCGGATGCCTCTCAGGTAGCTGCGCTTGTACCAACTGCTTGCCACATTCCCAAAATGCGAAACACAAGCAACGTAAAAAGACTGTGGTCCGGGCTGTTTTGTTGAGTCTCGAACCTTGGGATGCTCCACATGCTATGCTCAGTACTCCCACAGTGATGTCCTTTGGAAAGACTCAAGTCATATCTGCACAAAATGAGGCAAACGACGCGTCATATGAGATTGACCTTGCGGCTTGTCCCAGTAGACAAACCTGACCTCCCTTCCCAGGAAATGGTCAATTAAATCCGGTGAAGTGAGTCCAGTCTAGCCCTCAAGCTGGTCTACTAGCCCTCGCCTTCGGTATAACCTTGTGGGTCTGGAAGCTGGCTGGCACCTGGCATGAAACTCGTGAAAACAGAACGCCTGACAGCAAAGAATGGAGGATTTACTGAGCTTCAAAAGAGTGCACCCATCAAGCAAAAGTGAAACAGTGAAACAATAACGGTGCATCCATGGAAGTCAACCGCACCCCCAACTGCTCATCTCTGTCCCATCGATGTCACAACTACTGGAAGACATGTTGTCTTTCGGCCCCAGCTTTTCAGAAGAATGAACAAAGGGCATGGAGTCGTAAAGCACCAAGGTCGTTCAATATGATTTCGAACCCGCTCCTGCAACGTTAGGTGACCAAGACCATCGCTGACACCCACAGTCCCCTAGCCTCCTGTTGGCCCTGCTGTAGGGATGTCGCTGATGCTCCGGATGCCTCTCAGGCAGTAAAGAGATGCAAAGAGCGCTTAAGAAGGCAATCATCTTCTTGAACCGATCGGTGGTGGTGCGAAAGCATTTGGCCACCTTCACGTCGTCACCTACGCCAGGTGTGCTGTGCTCAATTCTGACTTGGCTTCCCACACAAAAAAACAAACGACAAAGCAATCCCATGGAAAAAGCAGAGAAGCAACATGTTTAGTCGTCCTCAAACCTGGAAAAACACTAACACCGCTGCGTTGTGTTGAGTCTCATAGGGATGCTTCCCAATGCTCCCCACACTCAGTACCTCCAGTCAGACCAGAACAAGTAAAGGTTAACTATCCATCCCCTCTGCAATGGGCCTAATGAACTGCGGATTATCGGATTATCAAACTGTTGAATTGTTCAACTATGCTCCCAATATATAGATCGAAAAGTAGATCCCTACCAAAAATGTATTGGACACCGTGCCAAATTCTCTAGTTGGGAATCATTATATACCACAGTGAATGCTGGAAAGCACCTCCACCCAGCACCGTGCCCAGCTGCGGCAGGACCTCGTGTTCCCCGGCCTGCTGCGGCAGGACCTCGTCTCGGTTCAGGAAACTCGTCCTCACCTCGTCCCGTCGGAACGGGACCAACGACTGGGGCGGAACAGGACGACCAGCGCCGACCAGGGCGGCTGACCGGGGCGGCTTGGGCCCCGGAAGGTGCAAAGGTTGCGACGAAGACGGGTTTTTCCTCTACCAACCGGGCGTGGTGTTCACCGTGGTTTTTTCAGGGTCCATGGCTGGAAGATGGTTCTTCCTCTACCAACCAGTGTTTTTAGAGTGGTTTTTCAGGGTCCAACCAGTAGTCTCGTCTTCCAGGGTCTACTAAGATGTTGCAGGGAAGGAGAAATGAGTGTGGAGGAACCTTCTTCGAATGATCTGAATTGGACAAGAACTCAGGGGAACCTTCTCTGAATTGGGCAAGAACTATTATTTGGGGGAGCCTTCTCTGGGGGAACCTTCTTCAGTTTATAGAAGTTGTGATGTGGGGGGGGCATCCCACTAGTTAAATAAGCTTCCGCATACAAGTAGCAGCTTAGCTTGGAATGGCAGGGATCCTCACTCTTGGTGCTATCCCCACGCTTCAGGGCCCAGCCTTCCGAGGAGTGCTGGGTGTGGTGGTTGCGCTTGGCACCTGAACACAAGGTGTCAACACAAACTTTGACATCCAAGTGTAAGACTTCATCACCTTCGCAATGCTTCGCAATGCTTCGCATCAGTTCACCAGACTCGGCTGGGCGAAGCTCGTCTACCAGTTCTTCGATGATGTTTGGAGTCTCGTCTCGTCAGGAGTCAGAAGTCGCTGTCTCGTCTATCGGAATGATGAAGAGACTGGACCATGTCCACAGTGGGTAGCTGTAAGATTTGCCCTAGATGCAAGAAGTCAAGATTAAGGAATGATTGAAAAAGATCGGTGTCTTTCATACTGCGAGCACCCAAGTGTTTTGGACTTTTCATGACTTTTCATGATATGGGTCCAGACTTTAACCTGACATTGCTTTGGTTTCATTTGGAATTTGATTGGATCTGTTGCCTTCCAGCAGAATCCTAGGCGTTCTCAGCTGTTCTACCACAGAAGTGTATCTTCAATCAAAGTCTGACAGCAAACACTGGCTTTCCATGGCGTTCCATCGCGAGGGATCGAGGGAAGAGATGGCCGCAAAGCAGCCACCCGCTCAAAGGCAATGCCACGGAACCACGAATTAAGCTAATAAGCAATGAATACAAGTGACGGAAGTCACTCTCTACTGAATGTAGTTCGTCTGTGTGCCAATGGCAAACATAAAGTATTCTAAGAAAGTATGCATGACATTGCATGAACACAAGCTTGAACTGAACACATCACAGTCCTTCGTGCGGGAAAAAAAACAAACGTCAGACACGGATGAATGTCACGCCTGCAGTCCAGACTCCAGGTCTAAAGGACTGCTGTCCTGTGCGATGTCTCCACGTCTCCAAGCAGTTGTGTGATGTCAGATGACCAGTTGTGGAGCAGTTCCTCTTTCTTCAATGATGTGGAATGATTTCGGATGAAGAAAAAGGAAGTCAAGCCCTTTCTGGGCTGAGAATCATGCTGGAGGTCTCAGAATCAAGCTAATGGGTTCCCCCCCGGCATATTTCCCACAAAATACACACCGACACCGACGGTTCATTCACCATTATTTCTCCAAAATATCCACTCCAGAGACCCCTCCCAACGGCATGAAAATCCAATGGGATGAGTCCCAAAGAAGTGGTTGTGTTTTGGCCTTCTTGTGCTTTGGATGTTCAATCTATATACTGGTTTCTCACTTCGTCATTTGCTGTGTTTTTGCTTTTTGCACTTCAAGAATGAGACATGTATTCAAGCTGGACCTCGATCCACCCCAAACTAGTACAATGGCTTTGCAAGAACCATTGAAGACAAGAATGAAGCTGCAAGTCTCTCACTAGCAAATTTGGATGAGAAACTGGAAGTCCATACTTGGCAGACTCCTTGAACCCTGGAATGTGCTTGCCCTATATAAACTGAAAAAGAGCCAGCCAAAACAGTGGGTTCCTTCCGTGACAGGCGTGATCTCGATGCTTCAAACAGTTGAGGAGAGGTCTGAAAGAGCAAAGCTATTTTTGGAAACATATTTTCCGGCTTTAGTGTCATCGTTTGCAAATGAAGACTTATTACCTGGAGATGCATGAATACTACAGATATCAATAGGGTATAAAATGCTACAGATACTAAGATATCAATGGCTATTTCTTGATATTCTTCCACCTCCAAAAGAAGATTTTGGTTGCCTTCACCCCTCGACCCCTCGACCCCTCCCACCTGAGGCCCAGTCGGACTCATCAGCTTGGTCTTTGAGTCGTGTTGGGGTGGTGTGGTGGTGTGGTTCTTCAGCTCTTGCGAAGTGATATATCATGTGGGCTTCTTCAGTGTGAAAAACGAGTCTAGACAGTCAACTCCTATGGATGTGGAGTAGGAAAAGTCGAAATGAAGCAAGGAAAGGACCCTGGTCATGTGGACGCTTTAGCCGCATCCGTAGTTGGACAGCTTTGGCTCAGCTTCCTCATGGTTCCATATAATTCCTAAATACTCGTGAGCCAAAAGAGAACAGGACAGCGCGTTGGACAGCCTAAAGTCTCACCCTCAGAGGGCGGGGATCACGCCTGTGCTTCAAACCAGCAGCGACATCCCCAAGAGTTAAAGACATTGGCCAAGTTCCTTGGAGTTGATCATTCACTTAATCGAAAGAAAGTGGTTTTCCTTATTGGATTGGGAACAAAAGTCATTGCCAGATTGGAACTTTTCTCACCTGTTCAACCCATTCACCACCCCGCCAGTCAGCGCACCGGACGATTGGGAGCCACAAGCGCTCCCGTTCCTTTTTTGTTGGGACACGAGTTCACGGAGTTGGTCGAGACGACTGCCCATGTGGGCAGTCTCTCAGTCCTCACATGTTGGAAGACTGGATAGGCAAGGCGAGCCGATGTGTTGGTCCGAGAAGGCCTCGACAAACGAAGGTCTCTCCCCTTGCGCTTCTTCAGGCAGTCCTGAATGACTCATGAGCACCGCCGGGCTTACAGCCGTTCTTTCAGACCGATGCAAGAAACGTAGAGCAAACACGCAGCTGTACCTCGGTGGGCCACCTTTCGGCCAGTCTCTTGGAGCAACGGTCCTTGGTACGTGAACTGTTACACTGCCATGCAGCTGGCCTTCCAAATTTATCAAAATTTAAAGCATGCTTCCAACACCCGGTCTGCAACGGTACACTGCTATATAATCGTAGGGGTGTGTATGACAATGACAGGCAGCAAATGAGTAGGCCTCGTAGCGCAGGCAGCGGCAGCATCGCAGCGGCAGCAGCAGCAGCAGCAGGAAACCAACAGCAGCAAACCAACAGCAAGCAGCAACAAACCAGGAGGAGCAGACCACCAGCAGCAGACCAGCAGCAGGAGCAGCAAACCAACAGCAGCAAACCAGCACCACAGGCAGAAGACCAGCAGCAAGCCCGAACATCCGTTTTTGTGGAACCTCTGCCCAGACCCGTACGGGACCAGGTTTTCATCCAAGCAAAAAAACATGAGATGGCAACTCAGTGAAGAAGAACAAGCAGTTGCAGTCGCGGTCGCGGTCGCAGCAGCAACAGCAGCAGCAGCAGCGGCCACTGCACAGCAAAGCAACAGCAGCAAACACGGCGGCAGCAGCAGCAGCAGCACCACCACCAGCCACCGCAGCAAAAGCACTTGCTCGCACTCTTAACCAAAACCCTCTACGCAAATGCATGAGGCAAATGAGCCCCTGCCCCCATTCTGTCCCAACATAGGTTGGGAAGCGCAACTCGAAGCTTCCAGGAAGAACTGTGATACAATCGTCAGTCGTGTTCCAAACACCAGTCACCAAGAGATAACAAGCATATCCCAGACACTCCATGTATGGAATATATGCCTACATTGGCCCCAAAACCACCCCAACTGATCGGCATATATGGCAGTCCTATGGAGTCTATGGGTGAATAATATGCCCGACACACAGTCGTTACCACACAACGAACGCCTCCACTCCTAGACACGCAGTTCTGCAACGACTTGAGCACTTGGGAGTAGTCAGCCACTGCCGAGCCACATGCCAAGCGGGTGAGACTCTTTTTGGTTTAATAATAGATAATAGATATTAATAGTATAATTTGATGTAAATTGGGCCCTCAGTTGGTCTAGCAACCCTTCGACATCGACATCGAATCGACTCGTGTGGTTTAGGTTCAGCCCAATTTTGACATCTGGTCCCCAGTTTGTCCTTACTCAACTTTACCAAAAAATGAGAACTCCCTCCTCCGTGAGAGTGAAGTTCAAGTTGAAATGGAATTCCTTTTTGCTGATCTCATCTTCAGGAGAGAGCCTCTCTACCAGCCCGCCAAGCAAACAACGATTCTGAAGTGTATCGAAGCTTCCATCAGACATTGACCGAGCTTCGCTTCCGAGCTTCGCTTCCTATTCCGGTGCGACTTTGGTGACTTTGTCTTTCTCATCCTCCTCATCATTCCCCGTCTTCCGGTGTCCATGCTGGGCGCTCATCGAAGACACCCAGGAGGAGTGCTCGCTGGCAAAACACTCCTCCGAGCGTTGGACCAGCAAAGGAAAGCTTGCGGCCTGTTGCATCCTCAGTGCCGGTCTAAAACTGACGCCCAAATGACACGTTGTAGTCCTGTACGACCTATAGAATTGGATTAGAATTGGGTTTACCTTAAGGACCTCTCCAACTTGGATTCCTTTCGATGAGTTGCGCATGAGGGAAGGGATTCCACTACTGAGGGTCACTACTGGAAGGTAATGGTTGACTCGCTAAGTATCTGCTGCAAGGAGTGCCACCAAAGCTGAATTTGGTGAGCTTGATGAACAGTTTCTGAGTATCGCCTCATCTTTTTCTTGGTCCCATTGAACTCTGCCCATGCTGTGGCTGCAGCAACACCCGCCGTGCAAACCGCACACCATTGCGTTTCACCTAAGTAGACCAATACCGTCACAAGTCCTGAAGCAATTGCCAGAAGAACCTGATGCATTGTGTGCCATCTCGCATATCGTGGCAGGCGTTGTTGGTAGAATCGAACACGAGAGTGAAAGCGAAGATCCATGTACTCGCGAGCTGTCAGGAGGGAGTGGTGGTCATCCACAGTCTCATCCTTGTTTGCTCCTTTCCCCTCCCAAGCTGCACCTTTATATTGTCCGTGCTTGTAGATTCCAGGGGCTGGATCGCGGCTGAAGCGAAAGGTGGAGAGGAATGAGGTTTCAGAAATACCTGCTGACTTCAACACAGAATCCTCTATTGCGGCAATGACGTTGCAAAGGGTCTCTTCTATTGACTCCATGTGGTTCGAAAGCATATCCCTTGAGTATTCTCCAGCACAGCATCGAAATTTCCAGATTTCAACTTCCATTGCCAGGGCAGCAGCACGCAATTGTTGCCACTTCGTGGTCGGATCTAGAAATGATATGAGCGCAGAGATCAACCCTGCACCAACAGACATGCCTAGAACCGAGTAATTCACTGATGCTTGAGTCAAGACATCGGGCAAGTTTATATGCATCAATGTTAAAATTGTGATGGCGTAGCCCGTGAGCAAGACAAGCCCATAGGAGAATTTCGCAATATTCTTCATGCGAGTCGCCACATGATGGTAGACATCCACGTCGACCCAGGCTCGTTGAAGAAGCCGGCAGGTCGTCAGCCCAATTTCAGGCATCTGCCGATCCACGTGCATTTGCGTCAGGAGCTTCTGAAGGCGTCCCAAGTCTGATAGATTTGCGGAATGGGTCAGGGGAGATAGAAGAACCTCGTGGAAGGCGGCTGTGATTTCAGGAGAATTGGCCAGATAGTTTCTCCTCTGAAAGTAGCTATCAAACTTCAGGCATTCATCTCGCAAGTGGTGAAAAAGGAAGTCTTTGGCATCTCCAAAATGTTCTTTTCGGGCCAACTGAATGATCTCTTTGAACAGTCGTCCGTCTTTAAGGCCGTGTTTCACGCAGAAGAGGCCTGTGCGTGCAGCTTTCTTGGCGAAGTTCGATGACATAGAAACAAGACAGTAATGCTGCAGGAATCGATCTAGCATGGCTTTTGATTCACAGCGAACAAGTTCCCCCACCATCTTCATGAGGATGTCTTGGAATTGAGACTTTGGCAACTCACTGACCCCAGTGTATTTGGGGTCAGGAGAGATAAATGCTTCCTTCTGGCTAATGAACGTGAGAAACTCACGTGTGAGTTTTTCAGCCACACATCGTCTGTGATCCTCCTTCTTTAGCATGCTGCTGCTGGACTGTTCTTCAGCAGGCTTCAACAAAGATTCTGCGTCTCTCTCAAACTTTCGGATTTGTCCCCAAAGCGGCCATTTGCCATCCTTATCATCTATGTCTTCACCTATTTGAATCTTGGTGGCCCTTCTGTGTCGTGTCTGGTCTCTATGCAAAATGTCCGTCATTGCATGATGTAGAAAAGCCAGTGTGGATGAATGGTAGAAGTTGCCAGTCCCCTCTTCATTAAGGCTATCCTCGAGCTTCCTCAGGCGAAGAATGGCGTCCTCTTCGCTGGTGATTGGCTCCTCTTTCTTCAGTAGGTCTCTTGAATCAAGCAGAAGCAGCGGAATTCCACGAGCAACCTGATCCGCCAATCTCTCGATGCTTCTTAGTCCCCATTTGTTCTGCAGGGTTGACACAGCAAAACCAGGGATCTGGCTGACTAATAACGCTTGGATCATTCTCGCACGCAGGATGTTGAGAGGTATCCAATCTCGCTTCCATTCATGTTGGTGTTCCCCGCTAATGCAATCCACAACGATATAGTGCGTGCAGCCATCTGGGGCATCCACATAGTGATTGTGATACGCGCTCTCAGCACCAAGGCTTTTTCTGCTAACATACCACATCTTCGATACAGAGTCTTCCCAGTTCCTGGAAGCGTTTCGCAGCCTGGAGGCGACTGTAGCTGGATTTTCACTGGAGATCAGTACTTGCAGAGCATTGATGAATGTCAGGACAAAAAAGCCCAAATTCCCTCGGCGCCGCTCGGCCTCCGCAGCGCAGAGTCGCCCAAAAGCGCGTGACAAGCTGCATTCAGTATTCTCCAAAATGATGAGGGCATTGTGCTGTCTGGCCAGCGGCAGCAAGCATTCTTTCAAGAAGGCTTGAATCTTGAATTCCGTCTCCTGCGCACTTTTGAAGTCCGTTTCGGACACGAAGTAGTGCTCCTTGTTGAGATCATGACCTTGAAGCTCGCAATCGCCCCAGTGGTGCACTATCAACTCACTGGAAGAATACTGGCCCTTGCCCACTGCTGTAGAACCGAACATCTGGATAACAAGTTTTGGTCGTGGAAAGAAATCCAAGCCAGACATGACTCGATCAACGCTGTCCAGCGGGAGCATCCTTGCTTGTCTGTTGGACAGGAAGAGTAGCTTCCGTTTCACCTCTGCTCCTCCTACTTCGACCTTCACGGTGTCAACGAGCCCAACGACCGTCTTGATCTGCAGCTCTTCCAACTCTTTGCGAGCTGGATCCTTCGTGCCCACGGCATTCTGTAGAACGTACTGCTTTTCCTGTTGATTTGGAGGAGCACGTTCTCTATCTGCAAGCCGGTCAAAGCGGTACGGGATGGGGATCGGTGGCAAAGGGTCCTGATTCTTGACCGCTCCAATGGTGACACCATTGAAGCTGTGCTCTGCAGAGACGCCATCGAGTAGAAGCTCCTGCCGCAGAGAAGCTCATGCCTCCATCGTCTTTCAACACGACGTCTACCCCATGCTATCTGATTCACATATGTTAACCTCTCGCCCGCTGAAAACCCCCGTCCTCAGGCTTCAGCTCCTTCCTTTGACCTGGAGCCCAATCCTCCTCCTCCACCTCCTCCTCCGTGAGCTCATCCGGGGGAACAAGCCGAACCTTCAACTTCTTCAGGCGGCGAACCTTTGGGCGAGCCTTTGGGAGGCGAGTTGGCTGGTTCATGGCACTGATGGTTGGCAACGAAGATGAGACTTGCATCGAGAATGAGACCTGTGTTCAACACATCACTCATGAGACGTGATGTCACTCATGTCGTGTAAACAACAAATCATGACGGACTCATTTTGACCTGGAATTATTGGACGTTGTTTCTCGCGTAGCCTTTTGAACTATGTTGCTAGCAAACATGCAGGGCCACATCAAGCGGTTGTTTCTTCAAGCGTTCCAAAGGCAGTCGTGCAAGAAGCTGAGATACATTGAACGCATCAACCCAAGAAGGCGCCCCAAATCCTGTTCAAACATGAGATGCCACCCAACTCCTGTTTCAGATCCCAACCACTGAAAACTGCCAGTGCTGACAATCGTGGCCAAGTGAGACCCTCCTTTGACATGGGAAAGTGACGCAGAAAGGCATGGAAAACCATCTACAGTAAATACATGAGTATCTCAGATTGGTGCATCATTGACCAAGGGCACTCCATCATGTCCCAAGAGATGCCAAGAGCATGCACCCACCCGCGGCACCCATCCACCTTGACTGTTCGCTCTTTTCTATCTGTGCGCTTCCAGGTGCGTGAGAGCGGGGCGGCAGGGCCTCCTGAAAAAAACAGAAATCCGAGTCCATGAGCCCGAGTCTGGGAGGGGAACATGGCCAAATTGGATCCACCCGACCAAATCTTGAGCTCGACTGCAAGGTCAAGCAATTGAAGAATGTTGTACAAAGCATACGCTCCCGACACTTGATGTAGTGTAGACTCTGGATTAATGAACCCCACATACAAAGAGGTGTTTCAATCCAAATGGCAACAAATTTATGAATCAATAGTCTACACTACAGAATTGGATTATCACATGATTTTTTCTCCATCTGTCCAGCACCTCAACCTCGCTCCGCATCGGCTGCTCCTCAACATTGCTCGAGTCGCTCGAGCTGTGCACTCTGCCTCGACCGACAGGCGTCACCACTGAACGGGCACGAACGACCAACGTCACCGGCCATTGCTGTGTGTCAAGGCATTGCGAGAAAAAGGCATCGCGAAACCACAGCAGAAGGAGTGCTTTCTAAACCACCGAAACCACAGCAGAAAGCACCGACCATTGTTTGTTTGCTGTGGTCAGAAACTTGTTTTTGACCATTTCAGTTTGTTTTGTGCGTCCAAATCTCCCCTCCGCAATCTTCCGACCTCGGAAGAGGCTTCGCTGCGGAAGGTAGGCAAGCCTGCCCGAGAAGAGGGGAAGCAGGAGTGAAGCGAAAACGCAGCTGTTGAATGTGTCCTTCGTAGCATTTCTTTTGAGAAGGGTCTCATGCTAGCATGTTCCGACTCCCAAAGCGCTGCCTCTTTCGACTTGGCAAAGAGATAGTTGCACAAGGTGGGCAGCGAATATTCCGCTTAAGATCTCTATGTATAGATCATTACTCGAGCTTGAACTAGCCCTCAACTGAACCACTCATCACTCGTCATACCTTTGCTGAGCGGAAGTTGCATTTCCTCCAGTGGTGTCTCATGAGTTGAACTACTGAAAGATCTGAACGCGTCAACACAGACTCACCCTGAGAGCCAGCATCCAATCACGCCTGACTAGCAAACATCGGTAGCTTCAGCATCCAATCAAATCTGATGTACACATTCACCAACTTCATGTATATGTGGAACCCACTATGGAACCCCTGAGCATTCTGAGAATTTGTTGCTGAGCCGGCTTGCTGCAGAAAACCTGCATTCAGCAACTTGTGATGACGAATGCTATGACTTCAGTACTACCATTGCCTTAACAGTGCACCAGCCAAGTGAACTCTACGAAGGTAGCAACCAAGTCAGCTGGACCACTGCAAATAAACATGTTCGCCAATGGTTCAAGAAATTGATAGAAATTGACACTCACCCTGCCCGAGTCTCTGCTTCATCCCCAAGCAGCGACATCCCCAAGAGTTTTCAAGACATTCCCTAAGCAGCTCCTTGGAGCTGGTGATTCACTTCAGCTAGGAGCTGAATCCAAAAAGCTGGTGCTTGAACCCTTTTCTCGACGCCGGAGGAGTCCAACGAATCACCCCTTCGACCCCACAAACCACACGTTGAACGGTTGGGAGACACGAGCGCTCCCCGTTCCTTTTTTGTTGGGACACGAGTTCACGGAGTTGGTCGAGACGAGATGGGCAGTCTCTCAGTCCTCACATGTTGGAAGACTGGATAGGCAAGGCGAGCCGAGGCAAGTCGTCTGTAGGGGCCCTGGCGTAAACGGTACTTCTGATGTTTGATGTCCGGTGGAGCGGAGGTTTTGGCCGGATTTTCGTTGGGCGGCGGGTTTGATGCCGGTGTGCTGAGCTCGTTCTTGACAATCGAACGACATGTTTGAAGCCTACTTCAGTCTTCACTGGCGGTTTTTGATGGCTGAAGCATGCGACAAAACAGTGCTATCTTGGAGATGTCACACCTCCCTCGAAAAACACTTGCAGGGCCTTCCACAGGGTCTATATCCTATACATCCACTTGAACTGCGTGATGAGAATGGCTGAATTCTTCCATGCAGAACGGGAGAACCCCCGTTGGTGAGACGCGTTTACTTTTTTGCAGCTCCAATTCGCTGTAGTAGCTGCTTGGCTAGTTTTGCCAAAGGCCCTGGTGTTATCTGTTCTTCTCAGGTCATTGAAATTCCCCCGCAGGGCTGAGTTTCAATGCCATTTCAAGTAGCATGTTGATGCATGTTGATATGATTTCACAATTTATCTCGTGACGGATGCTCCAAGCATCAGATCTTCTCACTATATCTTTTGGTGTCACCAAGCATCCTTTTCCTCCGATCTGTGGAGAAAACGAATCAGAGCCGCTGTTGGTTCAAGTGGAATCTGCGTACGAGTCCGACATCTCCAATCAATTCGTACGGGTCCACATCCCCTGTTGCGGGCGCTGTACTAGTAACATGGGGCACAGAATGCAACATGGGACATCTTGAGCCATTCTGGGTAGACGTTTGAGGTGGTCCATGAGTTTCTCCATCAATCGTGAGCAGTGCGTGTGTGTGTTTTCATGCTAATTGCTGCATCCTGCTGTCCTACGTGATTGAATTCAATTCGGGGAATTTAGCATCATTAGAGATTGTTCATGATTGTTCCCTGAATCAAACCAACCAAACAACTTGCGGAGGCCTTTTTTGATGCTAGCTGAAGAAAGCTTGAGGTACAAAAAGACTCCTTAAAAGACCACAAACTTCTAGTATCTTGTCATACTTATCTGGACATCAATCCCATACCAGTCGACTCTGGGTATCCTGGGAGCTCCTGCTGATGGCTCTTGTGCTTTTCTGGAGATCTCTGGCTCAAATGGGTCGCGTCTCACACATCGCATTCAATGCCGAGCCTCTCGGGATGGTCGACGACCACCTCCTGCGGTGACGTGACGACAGCGGTTTCGAGCGCCGGACGTCATGCAGGAGCCAACGGCTTTCTCTCTTGGCATCGGTTTTCTCTGCTGGATTTCAGAGACATCCTGACATCCTGTTGGCATCTGTTGGTTTTCTATTCTTCTTTTCTTTTGATTGATGTCTGTGTGGTGGCTCGACACCTGTGTCCGAGGCTTCAGGCAGCTTTCCAGGCTGACAAACGCGCCTGCACGTTCTATGTAAATCAACATGAAATCAACATCAAACAATGCCCCAAACAGTGCCTGCTGGTTCTAACAATGTTGCTGGTCTACTTGGGTTGAAACGCCTGATGTCTACACTGGTCCAGGTCAACAGACTTGAGATACCCTTCCCCGATCGACCCTGTCAGCCTGTGTGTTTGTGCTTCAGCCTGTCAGAAGTGCAGCCGGTGCAGCCAGTATTTTTATGTATTTTTATACGTTGGTCTTGTGAATAGAATCGTTTTGCATCCCTGGAGCTTCACCACTTACCAACACTAAAATTTGACTTGCACAAAGTGTAGGACTCTTGTAGGACTCGAATGAAGTAAACGGAGTCACACGGAGTGAACACAATGGTGTGGCTCCTGTATTTCCCCCATCCTGTTTGCAATCGCTACTTGAAGCTGTTCTCACAGTGTAGTATAGTCTTGCTTTGCTTGTCCTAGCAAAAAAACTTTGCAGTGGCATCACTGTATCATAGGACCATCCAAACCTCCTGTTCCTCCTCGTCCCTTCCCAAATTTAGAAAACCGGTCGAAGTCGAAACCCCACCATCAGCGTCGTCGGCTCATCATCAGCCGTCCCAAAAAAGGAAAAAGAAGGCGCCCCGTCCGAAACGAAAAGCCGCGCCCCAAAAACGCAGCGCCCTGTCCTGTCATTGATCATGTAATGCCCCTCTTTGGCTATCCCTCCTGCTCCTCCTGCTCTGTCTGAAGCTCTTTCAGTTGCTGTGTCAGGCTTGCCACCTGAGATTTCGTTTTCGCCGCACGTCAGCAGCTCTGGACGGCTGTGGGAGAGTTGCTCACCTGAAGGCATCTCCTATGTTAAGCTAGCTTCGGCACAGTAGGGTATTGGTGATCTGACCAACGCATTGCTTTGGCAATGCCAAACAGCATCCTCATGTTAGGCTAATTGTTAATGTGGGTGGGTCACCCAGAAAAGTCATCCAAGTGGAAAGAGTATTCAAAAGTGCATTCTTAAGAGGAAGTTTACACTTAGCTACTTGTGGCGATGCCTTCATTCCTAGCCAAAAGGAACCTTGTGAAACTAAGAGCTTGCAATCTCGGGAGGTCCGGGGGTCCGGGGGTCCGAGGGTCAACACTGCATTGGGTCTGGTGTTTTGTGTCTTTCCCATGTGATACCTTCACTTCTTGGCTTCCCACCTTGGCTTCCAGCTCGGCATTCTGACGCCGAAGCTCATCATTGTCCGCCCTTAGCTCTTCGACATCCACACCTCGCGCAGCGTGCCTCGTTTTCACACCGAGGAACTGTCTGCTTGGATGTGATTTTCTTGGGTATCTAATGTGTCCTGCAGTCCTGGAGGGTGTGACCCAGCTGAAAAGCTTTCCGAGGACATGTTTCTTCAATACTACACTGGCTTCAGGGAGTCTGCTTGTCAGTATTACTGTATCACTGGTCGTCAGACATGAGGTGTACTCTCCCACCAAGAAGTGGCGCAAGCATGCGCAAGCTACCCATCTTGTGCTATGGACTGAGCGCAAGCATCGAGGCTTAGAGAGTTCAGAAACGCCGAGCCCCCGCACACAAAAACCTCTGGCCTTTTGATACCATCCAAACGGAAACGAGCACATCCCATGTGCTTGCATACTTTAAGTCCTCTAGATTCTTCGGATTCTCCTGTAACTCAAGAATGACCTCCCTTAGCATCCGGGTGTTTTTCAGTCAACTCCGCGCACTTCTCGCGCTGCCTGTGGGAGCCCCCAGGTATTTTTTGATGTAGTCGACAGCCTAACAGCCCAGGCGTGACGGTTTTCGACACCGGGACCCTGGTTTGTCGATGGTCGTCAAATCCCGGCGCTAGCCCATTCATTGAATCTCATGGCAAGTTGCGAAATCTGCTGTGTTTTGCGTCCAAGTGGATTCATCTATTAATATCTATTAATATATATATATATATTATATATTATATATGTATATATACAATTACATACAGTATAATCATACAAGATCATGCATGTATGATTCTGATCGGAAAAGCTCGTGATAAGAAAGCACGTGTCATACTGAGAAGAAAGCGTCATGCGTCATACGAGCTTGATTTGCGGTTCTTCCAAATCTTCAAACCTTCAAATTTGCGCGGAGACCATCTTCGATCTGTTGCCCAATTCCCTGGCACTAGGTTCCCCATGGTTCCCCATGGTTCGATTCGCCGGGGTGCCCGGAAAGCCTCTGTAACCATTCCGAACCCACAAGACCATCTGTGTGAGCATGTGGCCTGGAGTGAATCTAGAACAAGGCTGCCAAGGATGAAGGTGCAGGTCCCGAAATCAATGACCAGTTCCGGGCCAGTCACGTGGAATCAGATCTAAGTCGAACTTTCATAGACAAAAGATCAGAGCACGCATCCATATGCATCAAATAGTCACACCATTTGTTTGTGCATGCAATCACCCCAGTTTCGCGAGTCTTTCGGATCGGGAGTTTCACCACTGTGCTCGGTCCCCGGGCATTGGCGGGACGTTCGGGTTCCTCATAGAGTCCCACAAGCACACGGGTGAGCTGAGAGATGATGCCGTTCTTCCTGAGTGGGCGACTTGAGGCGACTTGAGGCGACAAACGTACGATGACTGGGCGGAGGAGCACGCCAACAAAAATGGGTGATCGGCAAACTGGCCATTATCGGGCCTTAGTAACTTAGTACAATTGCTAGACTTCGTTACTTCGTTCCCATCTGATGACGATCCAAGGCCGCTGCTCCAAATACTTGCGGAACTCCTCCTTCTGCGAGTCTGCAGTTTCGTAGCTCATGGCCCTGGCATCTTTCTGGTACGAGGCTCTTCCCCAAAAACCCACTGCATTGAGGGGTAAAAGCCGCTTGTATGACCTGGATGGTTCAGTCCATACCTCCTTGAAGGAATCTTCTTAACATCAAGAACTTGTCTGATTGACATTGGCCGGCATACTAAACTCGGATCTCCTGCATTGCGATTGAGAGTTTCAGAATCACATTCAGGCTTGCACACCTCCCTGCTCCGAAGCACATTTGCCAAAGACAATCAGAGATTAATGAAGCACACTCTCGCAACGTAAGGTAATGCATCCAGCCAGTATGAGTCAGTATCAATCTTATCACTCTGGCGAGCCGGCAGCCATTTCATAAGACCCTTCCAAATCAGCTGACCACTCTACAATGCGGGATTCCCAAAGTCTCCATGATTTCTGCGTAACCTCCCAACTTTTCCCTGTTGAACTGCTGGACACCTTTACAGCGTTCTTTGCAGAAGGCGGCATGTTGTCCGAGATCCAAAAACTCCATCGTTCGGATCGAGCAGTCGAGCTGACAGCTAGGTCCTATAGTCAGCAAAAACGATGTAGGAGTTGAAGTTCATCTTCATTGGCTTCATGATTCCCAACATGTGCCTGGAAGTTTCTCCCGGGACATGTGGTGTTCAAACCCACCCTTTTCGCACCACACACCGTGGCGAGGTTGCGGCCTCCCTCACTGCGGAGAGGACGTCAGACAACTTTGGGCGTTCGGAACGGGCGTATCGTTGGGCCAGAAGGGCTGTGGTGACGGCCACAAGGATTGGGCATGCATCTGAATCAACCGTCTATTTGAAGATACAAACGATTTGTGGGTTGCGTCACCTTACGGTCCAAGGGTGCGTCACCTTACACATGCAGGTTGACCTGTGCAACCCTACAATAGTCTTGACAGGAAAGCATGCTTGTGAACCTCAAAGTATGATCTGTGTGTATACATTATAGATCCCCAAATAGATAGAAGTTCGTAGTTCCCCAGATAGAACATGTACTGGAAACCGTGCCAAATGGATCCCACATGGATCCCAGCTTCGCAGCACCCACTTTTCAGCTCAACAAATGTCTGAAGCGGCCAGGCAGTGGGGCATAGAAGACCTCGTCCAGCAAAATGGCTCGGTCGATTGCTGTTGGCACAGGACATCTGCAAAAAGGATCAAAAAGGAAGTATAGTGACCCACAAATAGATAGGCTTTGGAACATCTTCGTCTGCACCGTTGAACATCAATACCGTTGAACATGTCGGCATCAGTACCCCGTTGAATCATGTCTTGAGACTGATTCTGTCGTTATCATGTGTTGGGGTCCTTATGATCCTTATGGACTCACGATGACTCACGTAGTTCCAGGTGTTTTTGCACCTAACTAACAATAGGGACACAGAGGAAGTTAAGAAGTTACCTACTCCACCAATTAGGCTTGACTCACTTCAATGAAGAAACCACTGTATTCAAGAAACAGTGGTCTAAACTCTCCGACCGGATTCGGTTTCTTCATGTTTTTCTGAACTCAATCAATGAAGCCACTCAGACCGACCCAGGTCCCAGGCCGCAGTGTCCAGCAGCTGCAAGCTATCGAGACCTGGGTCCGACGTCCAGAGAGACGTCCAGCATCCCGAAAACAGGGTTCGAAGCGTCCAGCGTGGATGGATGATGCTTCCAAAAATGGGTCACCTGAAAAAGCAGCACTCAAATCTCTGGGCTTTGATTCCAGCCCAGCTTGGGGCTGAGGGGTTCTTCGTTCAACGGCCTTCCTTCAACATCAGTAAAAGCCGGAACCCTCTACAGCAGCCAATCCTACACTTAAACCGCAAATATCGACTTCTCCAAGAACAAAAACAAGGTGAAAATAAAGAGTCCACAGGAGCTGAGTCAACATCTCCATTGCACTATATACAAAAATGTCTTACAAACATATATATTATATAAACATAAATATATAAGTAACTTCTGAGCAACACCTTAACCTCCAACCCATCCGATGAGGACGTTCACCCTTACACTTTCACCGGGCAACACCGGTTGTCCTTTCCGAGTGCCCCGGGCCGACGATGTTCCGGAAGTGCGGGCGCCTGGGAGGCCGCATGGGACGTCAAGTGGGGACCTCCAAGAGCTACACCTGGGATCTTTGAACCTGATGGGCATGGTTCTTTGAGCCAGACTGCGCTTCCACAAAGTGTTTTTTTAGGTTCCATGTGAATCTTCCATGAGCTATGAGCTAGCTGTCAACACCGATGTCTTTTTCCAGATCCTGCAACAGGAGGGTCTTTCAGGAAGCTGATGATTGAGGCGTGAAGAAGGCGTTCAGTCGGTCGGAGTCCAAGCGGGGCCAGCTATCTGTGGCTATCTGTGAGTGAGTGATTGCAAAGGTCATGAATCAAGCTCTTGGCGGTCTAAATCATCTGACAAATCCATTTGCTCTCCTTTACCGGTGGAGACTGCAATTAGCTAGCAACCAGCAAAGAAACATTGGTTCAGTGTCCGAATTGGATTGGCATGACTTCTCACTCAAAAAGGCGATCATCAGTGGCTCATGGTGTGGGAGTTCAAGACACAGAATGGCACCTCTGCACTCTGAAGACCTGCAGACCTGCAGACCAAGTCCTTGTGAACCGAGACTCCACACACTCCGGCGGCGCATGAGGAACCGAGTGCTCACGCCGGCCTGACACAGCAAGTGCCTTGGCAGCTCTGAGGTGTGTAGCTCTCCAGGCGCCACTGGCGCGCACCTCAAAGTGGCCGCGTTTTTGGGTGTTTTGAGCGTTTTTCTTCAGCTTCTATCAGTTTCTCCTTGTGCCGTTACTGGAAGGTCCTTTCCGTGCTATCCAACTCGAGCCATAGTTGAGTGTGAGATTCTTGGGAGATACTGATAATAGTAGTAGTAGTAGTAGTCGTCGTCGTCGTCGTCGTCGTCGTCGTCGTCGTCGTCGTCGTCGTCGTC